GAACAAAAAATATCAAAAACCATATGCTGAAAGCGTTTCCTTCTCGAGATATACCACTTTTAAGAATGTATAAAATACAGGCCCAGAGTTTACAGACTCGCATAACAAGACTAAAATAATAGTTACTTCAATCCAGGTTTACAATATATTAATAATGCATTTTGTGAAAAGTCTTGCAGGCAAAAAAGGGGCAGCATTGAACATTTTTAAAACTTTTTTTTCAAAAACCATTTTTTATTCATTTTAATCAATTTGAAAACAATGATAAAGGAATGAAATTGCAGTGTTTGTACGATTTTAAGCTAAAAATATATAATAAATTAAGTCAATAATCTTGCGTTTTAAACACAGATAAAAATGTTCAAAGCTACCCTAGCCTGGGGTAGTTTTGATTCTACCTGAGGCAGCTTTGAATCATTATCAGCAAATGAAAATAACTGAAGTTTAAGATATGAAATTTAAGATATAAATTACTATATTTTTTAATTTCATTAATTTTTTTTTCATGAAGTTTCTTTATTTGATGTTCCCTTAGATTTTTTGTCTTGCGTAAAAGATAAATTTTTTAAATTTCTTCTCTCTCTAGAGTGTCAGTGAGAACCTTAGGTTCGCTTGAACTTAGATAATAGTATGATTAATATCTTTATCTATAATTTCTGTTTCTCTCTTTTTCTTATAGTTTCGAATCAGTTTTAACTTTGAATCAGAAAAAAGGCCGTAATAATGAAACTTTATTAGTGCGGAAAATCTAAAAAACAAATCAAAAGTGCTCCGTAATGTTCAAAAGTGCCCCGACAGCATCATTATTAATAACCATGATTTTCCAATCTAAAAAAGCTCAACTTTTTATATTTTCTGCAAAATTGAAAAGGTTATGACCTATTCCGTCTTTTAAATAATATAAAACTCGTTACTTGCTAAAAACGGGGTTTTTAGCTAGTAACAAGTTTTATATTAACTAAAAGTCATTTCAGGAAAGACAAAAAACAGTTATGAGCGTAGATATTATTTTCAGAAAAAATTTAATAATACTAAGTTTAAATTTATAAACGCTTCACAAATTCATTTTTTCAAAGCTATCCCCTTTCTCCCCTACTAAAATACTAAATGAGATAGAATTGTAATCAAAAGAAAAGCATGTAGTATTTCCTAACCACAATATAAAAAGAAATACCCAGAGAGTAGTCATTATTTACAAAATCGCGTAGGTAAACAGAGTTCACAAAGCTACTGAAATAAAAATGTGGAAGGTAAACCCTTTTTATTTTAAAAATGACATTATTAAAAAAAGTTCACTTTCGAACATCGCAAAACATTTTGTTAGATCACTATTGAAAAATGCAAATGGTTACAACAAAATTAGACTTTTATTTGATGACTATATTAGTCAGTCTATTAAAACTAGAACAAGATCGAAGCGAACATCTGGAAACAATATAAAGCACAAGGTTTCCGATAAAGGAGATATTAGCAGTTTTTCATATTATGCAATACTGAGTCTTCGCCAAATGAAGTTACTCTTTAAGGTATTGAGCGCTTAGCAGACAACACATATGGATTAAAAAATGTGCCTAATAACATATCAACCTTGGTTAAGCTTCTCTTTTCAAAGTATCATCAAGATGCTGTCCAGTTACCACCTACCGTAAGCGCTCTAAAATACAAAATATTTAGTACTCGTTTTTTATGTCTATCGTTAAAAAGATCTTACAAACGTTTACACAATTTTTTTTTTTTATGGTTTTGGTTGGAAGATCAATAGTGAATCCCATGATCCATTATTAACAGAATGTTTTCCTGCTCCATGAGTTTAATTAAATTTTTGTGGATATAGTGGTGATTGAAGTACAAAGAGACGTAAGTGTTATAAAAAAAATATTGCTTGTACAGATATGTGTAAATACATAGGTTGTGTAAACACCGATACAATTGAAATGACGAAAAGTTCGAGAATTGGATACATCTTATATAGAAGACTAATATTTGTATTTATAAGCTTGTATTTATCAAATTTTATTAGTTTTACTATCATTAATAGTGCGTTGTGTTATTTAATTGATCTTTTTATAAAAAATATAGTTTTATCTATATTTACCTAATAAGTCGTAAAAATGTTTAAATGTTTTTGTTTTACTCGAAGAATTCTTTCAAACCACTTTTTGCCTGAATAAGGCAAAAAGTATGATATGGTTTTTCTTTTTTGAAAAATATATATAAATTAATAAATTTCCATTAAAACAATCCTTCATTCATATATTTAATAGATAATTGCTTTGAACATAAATTTACATTAAAAAAAGTTCACTAAGTTAAATTATTTTGGATATATAAAAAAATTGAAACAAAAAATCTAATTTTTTTTTTGTCTTCTTGTGCCGGTCTGATAATTCTGGTTCTATAATTTATATACTCTATAACGTGTTTTATCTTGGGAAGGAAATGTTTTCAGCTTAAGGTTTTCCCATAATTTTTGTTCCGCTTTACAAGCTCATTCGTATAACATATATTTTTTAGATTTACAATAATTTTTTTTTTGTTAACTTAAGTAAGTTTTACGTCATAGGTCCCGGCTCCAAATGTGAAAATTTTTCAGCACCCATTTTTTTCGTTTTGCTTTTAATCTAAAGAACAAGTTGAAAGCAAAAAATTGCTTTTAACGCACGAAGTAAAACTAAAATAAAATAAAGTTTTATTTTATTAACAACCGACGAATAGTAGTTGTTCATCAGAAAGTGTCAAAAGTTATTTCATCATTCATTATAGTATTATTATATTGTAGTATTGTTATAAGTATTCATTATAGTTATTGTTCGCGCATGCACATTGGAGATATTAAAATTTGTATGTTTTTTTTGACAAAAGCGTAACTTTAGGAACATCGCTTCTTTTTTACTTTACAAAGAAAATAGTCGTATGAAAAAAAAATTATTGTAAAAGTTCCAGTCACTATTTTAAGTTAGACTTTTTTTTTAAATTGCCGTTTTTCAGGATCTATAGACTGTTTATTGAAAAAAAGGCTTTTCGGGTAAGTTGGCAAAATTATCACAGGGTAATTTGGCTCATAGCATTTAGTTAAGGAAAAAAAAATTAACCTTTATAAAATTACTTTTTTTTTCTTTAATTTTTAACAGTATTGAAAAAATTTATTCTTACAAAAAATTTTTTTTTTTTTTTTCACAATTAAAAAGTGGGCTACTGTTTCAGCTGTTATACATATTATTATTTGGTATCAGCTAAAAGTAATATTAAATTTTTTGATGCGAAAATAATAGTAAAAAAATAATTAAAAAAATAATAGTAAAAAAATTTCTATTAATTTTGCTCTTAATATTACATTAATAATCATTTTTATAGTTTGCGCTAACTTACCTCGTGGTGGGGTAAGTTGGCGCAATTATTTTTTTTTGAGGGCCCGGGAAGACCCCAAGGTTTTTTTTTTTTTTGTAATAGAATGCAACTTTTATAAATTACTCAAAATCATACTCTTTGAGACTACACTTATATATTTTAAAAAAAATGTGCACTGTGCACTTATATATTTTTAAAAAAATGTGCGACTGCAGAGCTCATAGAATAAAAACCGAGTCATCTAGCTCAAGTCACCCCTTCTTTATTATTCTTTATTATTTAAAAATTTGAAATATTTCTAAATGTTCAATTATTGTTGGGCTGATCAAAAATATTTTATAGTTTCGGCTTATTTATTATAAATCTGGAATTGTTTTTTTATTTGCCACTGAAGATACTCTACGTGTTAGGAGAATTGATTTCAGCTCTTCTTTTTGATGAAAACAGCTACTACAGTTTTACCGCTAGTTAGCATACACGGATGTTGCATAGAACAATATTTTAAGCCTTGTTGACTACGCATAATTGTTTTTTTTTTTGAGTTGAATATCAATTTAAGATCTTTTCGATTAATTCCTTTTAAATTCATTATAAAAATTGTGAAAAATATAAAACATTATTTTTAATAATTGTTAAAGAAGTTTATTGAAATATCTAATTTATTTGGACATAATTTGGACATCATAATATCATAAGGATTTATTCAGACATTGTAAAAATTTATTTGTATTAGCAATAGACTCAGAAATTACCGTATCGATTCAAATATATATACATTTTTTTTTTAAAAAATGCATATAAAATGATTATGTTTATGATGACAGCGTTAGCATTTGTTTCTTATTACAAGTATTATTATGTTTTTCTCCTCTTCTCAGTGACATTTTCTTTAAGCAATTTTTCTTTGCATATTTTGAAGTAAGTTTAACGTTAAACTTGTTGATTTACAGAAAGCGTTTGATGCAATAGATCATTCAGTTTTGATGCAATAGATCATTCAGTTTTGATGCAATAGATCATTCAATTTTGATGCGATAGATCATTCAATTTTTTTGAAGAAATTAGAATACTATGGGATTAGAGGCATACCCTTTAAATGGTTTACTACATATTTAAACAAAAAAACACTATTAGACTCTATCTTGTTAAAATATTCTAATGGTGTTCCTCAGGGTTTAGTATTGGGACCATTGCTTTTCCTTCTTTATATTAATGATCTTAAGACATCCATTAAGTTTGCTACCCTTTACCACTTTGCTGATGATACTAATCTAATGCTTACTAATAAACCCCTTAAAAAAATTTTATATTAACCATGGTCTTGCCTATTTAGTTCAGTGGTTTCGCTCCAACAAACTTTTACTAAACTCTGATAAAACTGAACTCGTTATCTTTAAATCAAATCAAATAAAAATCTATAAACATATGAACTTTAGATTAAGTGACAAAAAAATTGAACCTGTTAACTCAATTAAGTATTTTGGTATAAAAATTGATTCAAATCTTTCCGTTTTGTCCTACTGTAAAGACTTAGCAATGAAGCTAAGTAGATCTGATTGCATGTTGGCCAAAATTCGCCATTATGTTAATCTTGAGACACACTTGAACATATACCATACTATTTTTGGCTCTCGTCCCAAATATGCATGCCAAGTTTAGGGACAGTCCCATCAACAAGCTCTTATCAGGTTATCCCACCTTCAAAACAAGGCTTTAGAAATTATTTATTTACAGAATTTTAATTAAAACTATGTGAATATATTTAGCTTTTAAGCTGTCAATATTTCTGGAACCGCCGACACAATAACCTTCTTTTGCCTTTCATCAATTTCTATTCCAAAAGTGCCGACACTCATTATCACCTTCGTTCCAATAGCAGTTTAAACCTTGCTGTGTCTAAACACCGCTCTCATAACTACGGGCATAAATTTATAAAATATCAAAGCATTAAAACTTGGAATAACCTGCCATGTGAACTAAAAGCTCTCAGCTTATTCTCAACCTTTAAAACCAGTTTATTCTACTTTGTATTAAAAAAATACTGTTAATATTTATAATTTTTATAATCAATTTTTGTTGTCTTTACTATTGTTTATTTAATTTCTACAATATATTTTGTTGTCTTTACTATTATTTATTGATATTTTTATACATTACTATTAACTAATTTTAATTATTTTAACTAATATTAACATAGGCGTAGAGTATGGGGTGCAACGGGGGCAGGCTGCCCCCCCCCTTGAGTTAACCTTGCCCTCCTTGAAAACTTGTTTGCCCCCCTTGAAGTTTTATTTAATCTAGTAATAATTATTATTTTTATTTTTTATTTTTAAACAGAGGAAGAAACCATTGGAAGAAATCAAGTTTTTTCTGTAAAAAGTGAAGAAATAAATAATCCAGCTAAAAACATACTAATAAAAAAAAAGTTTTTAAGATAAAAACTCGGAAAATTGGAATCTTTTTTTCAGATATAAAATTTTTGTGATAAAATAAAACTTCAGATTCCATCTTTTGATCTCAATTTGAGATTTCTTTTATCCATTAAACTAGTTTTAAAAGTAATTTTTTCATCCATTAAACTAGTTTTAAAAGTAATTTTTTTAGCAACGTATTTGTTTTTGTGTAGACTATATATTAATGAAATTAAATTTTAAGATTCAAATAAAAAAAGTATCAATTACAAAATCTTTACAGAAAGCCATTTAGACAAGGTACCTTGGTGTACTTGACTTAACGGTAATAAAACTTTTTTTAAACAAATTTCAAAGTAACGGTGAGTTCACTTGACGATAACTTTAAGAAGTTAAGAAGACTTCAAACAAATCTACAGCTGATGTTTCGAACTTTGGTCTTTCTTTTTAGAACTTTAAAAAAAAATTCAAATCGAAGTTTTACTAAGTTTCATTTTTATACAGAGTGCTATAAAAGACAGAGTGCAAAACAAAAACAAAAAATAAGTAAACGTATATTAAACTAATAGATCTTGTCTAACAGTTTCTTTGATTAAGTTAACATAATTTCAATTTATTAAAGATTTAAAACTTACATAAATTAAAATTGCATTATAACTTTTTAACTTTATATAAGTAATAAGAACTAGGACTTGAAATTTGTAAATGAGGTAATACTTATACCATAATATAATATAAGTATTATAGTATAAGTATTATCTTGTAATATAAATGATAAGATAATACTTACACTATACTTTTATATTATAAAACTATATATATAAAGTTATAAACTTATATAAAACGATTTCATATAGTGAGGATTAAGAGAAAAAATGTTCGTGTTAATGCTTCGATAATTAAAAAAATAAGATGATCAAGCATTTTGCAGTGGAAACTTTATAGTAACAATTTCTATCAAATATTTTTTAAATGTAATCTCATTAGCAGAAAATAAAATTTTACATTAAGATTAAATTAAAAATTACTAATAAAATAATAAACTCATAAACATGTGTTTTGGATCAGTGTTTTCTCTGCTTTATGCGTTACCTAAAATCTTCCTAGTATACCGTCTACCGCTTGTTTATCATGCCTTGTTCTTGTGCAATATCGTCTTCTCCATTCGTAACCTTATCGTCTGATTTCGTAACCTGATTTGTAACAGCAAAAAACTAGGGCAAAAGAGTTACCAATTTAAATGTACATTCATAAATCAAAATTAAAATTACACAGAACAAGTTTACATATAGAAGACTTTATGAATAGAAGTTTTCCGAAATTTCCTGTACTATCCAAGTTTATTTTTGACATTAACAAATTAGTAACGTCGCGACATAACATATGCAGTAGTTTTTAGCAGCGCTGTTCCACCAATTTTCTTTAGCAAATATAAACTAAATTAAGCTAAAATGCATCCAAAATAAATAAAAAAACACTTAGTTATTAAACCTCTTGATTATAACAAAGATGAATACCTCCTGTTACACAATCATACTACGAGAGACCAGAAACTCATAATGTAAACTGTATCAATGAGGTTATCAATAATTTTTAAAACATCGAAGTCCATTAATTTGTTTGCATTTAAAAAGGTAGATTGTCGCGAAAATAGCTTTTTAACTTCCATAAGTTAAAATGGCGCATCTGAAACTCGTTTATTATTTACTTATCAGTCGTTTTGCTTTCAGTTGTTGCGAGGAAGTGAATCTTGAAAACGCATTTGAGTCTGATTTAATTACTTACCCAATGAAAATTATTTTTCATTGGCTAAATAATTTAATTTGTCAGTTTTTAATTGATATAACAACATTAGACTAAAAATTACTCTTAACAATCTAATTTTATCTTTAATTTAGAGATAAGAAACAATAAAAATTTTTTTACATTTTTTTGACAAGAAACCTTTGGCAGCCATTGCAACCGAGGTATTGGCAAGAAAGAGTCCCAGCACTATAAGAAATGATGAATTTCTTATAGTAATGAAAATCCATTGTGTTTATTATATTTGAATAAATTAATAAATTATTATTTATTACTTTATTTAACTATAATGTATAGATTTAAAAAATATTTGATAGAAATTGTTACTATTATGTTTCCACTGCAAAACACTTGATCATTTAATTTTTTATCGAAACATAAACAAGTATAGTGCACGAACAGATCTTTAATAACTATATCTTATTTACAAATTTCAAGACCTAGTTAGCTCTTATTACTTATATAAAGTTAAAAAGTTATAATGCAATTTTAACTTTTGTAAGTTTTAAAACTTAAATAAATTGAAATTATGTTAAATAAATCAAAGAAACTGTTAGACAAGATCTTATAGTTTAATATATACGTTTACTTAGACTAAATCTAAACGTTTTATATACGTTAATTAGACTAGATTTAAACGTAAATTAGACAAGACTCAAACGCTTTTTATACGCATAATAATTCTATAACAGACGTCTAAAATAAGTTTGAATATAGACGTTTTATGAACGTTTATTCTAAACGTTAATCTGGATTTTATTCTAAACGGATAATCGACCAAATCTGAACGTTTTATCATAACGTTGTTTTGACGTTTAATAGACGTTTGTGTATTTACCGGGCGTATATTTGAAATCTATAATTATTTACGTTTAATTAAGGTCAATTAAAAGTTTACAATATTGACTAATAGTTAGTCGATATTCTAAACGTTAGATCAACGTTTAGTAAACGTATTTATAAAAAAGTTTGAAATATACATTTCAAATTAAGCGTCGATTTTTAGTCAATAGTAGGTCTGTAAACGTTTTATCCATTTTTCGACCAATTTTGACTAAATATTGACCAATTCTGAACCAATCTAAGTTTACTGGGAAAGTTATGTTAAATTATCTTTAAAATAAAACAAACAAAAAAAACAAAAGATTAAAAAAAAAACAAAAAAACATGGTAGAATAAAACAAAAATGGCTAATATTGAATAAAACATAAATGGTTTAAATGAAAATAAAAACAAATCATATATAACTGTATATAAAATATTTATATCACTATTAAAAAAATTACTATTAACTAAAAATAAAGCAATAAATGACAAACAAAAAATTATAAGTAAAATTATTTATACCTAAAAACTACTAAAAAAAAAAAAAAAAAAGATTACTACAAGACGACATAAGGACAAAACTACATTAAGCTAACAAAAATAAATAATAGATGAAAAATTAAAAAAATCTTGATTTGCTAATCTTTTTCGTATGCTTTTGCTGATGTTTAAATAGTTTTTTTTTTCTGTTTATATATATATATATATATATATATATATATATATATATATATATATATATATATATATATATATATATATATATATATGTATATATGCTGATAAAAAAACGACTTTGTTAATCATGATTTTTTATTTAATACACAAAGTGGATATAAATGCAAACATAGAAGAAGAAAGAATTAACAATGAAATATCTCTTCTTGAAAGTCCAGCATTTCATCAGGGAAAATTTTTTAAAATTTCACCCTTTTTTCGTGAACATAGTGTATGGGCAGGAGAAACTGATTCTGATAAGGTAAAGAATGTTTTTCTCTTTTTTTAAAAAAATATATATTTTATAGATTACTTCTACATGCCAAACCCTTGTATATACATATATAAACAGCAACAGGCAGCATTTATATATCTATATACATAAACGCAACCCTCGGCATTAGAATGAGTCAGAATGAAGTCAGTAATAATTTGTCGACCTCAATTTTTAAGAGGTCGGCATCATGTCGGCAAAAAATTTGATACAAAGGTCTTACTATAAAATATTGAAATGCCATCGGTAGTTTTTTGCCAATATCAAACATTTTGAGGTTGGCAGTTAGGTTGGCGTTGCCGAATGCCGAGGTTTTTAAATGTGTGTGTGTGTGTGTGTGTGTGTGTGTGTGTGTGTGTGTGTGTGTGTATGTGTGTGTGTGTGTGTGTGTGTGTGTGGTGACCTAACTGGCGACCTGATAGTGTCTGAGGAATTTTATAAATTTATTATCATTTAGAAACTTTATTTGCTATTTCAAGTAAAATAAAAATGACAAAACGAACGATTATTTCAATTCTAAATAAAATAATTAGAATAAAATCAAAAAAACTAATGTTTTCTTTACTTTATGTTCTGAAAAAAAAAAAATTTTAAATCCCTGCGAAACAAATGTATTATATAATTCTTTAAATAAAATAGTTCAAATAAAAACAGAATAAAAAACATTTAATTTAATGTCTAAATAAGATAATTAAAATAAAAACAGCAAAACGAATGTTTTATTAAACTCTGAACAATTTTATCTAAAATCAACAGCAACATAAATGTTTTAATTAAATTCTATATAAAATAATTTAAGTTAAAATAAAAAACGGAAAATTTTGATTAAAATCTTTAAGAACATTATAATTAAGTTTAATATAATAAAAAAAAAATCTGAATAAAATTATTTTAAAAGAGTACTCCAAAACAAACGTATTTAATTTTCTAAATAAAATAGTTAAAATAAAAGTTGAAATATATAATTAAATTAAAAGCAAAAAAACATTTGTTCAATTAAGTTTGGATCTTGTTTTTATACCAAGTTTGTATATGGTCGTTGCTTTAGGCTTAATTTTCATTTTTTTTTTTAATTTTAATTACTTTTTAAGTATCAATCATACTTTATTTACGCATAATTATAATTACTTTAAGTACCAAGCATACTTTATTTATGCATAATTACTATAATGATTTTAGGTTTAATTTGAGTTTAAAAAAAATCTCATTACAATGCTAAAATGATATTTTCAAATACGCAGGTAACTAAAAAATGTGTTGCATTAAATTTGACACTCTTGCAAAAAACAATAGAAATAATTCTGATGAGCAGGTTTAAAACTCATTTGGAAATGCTAAGATATATTTAAAAAGATTTATATTTTTACAGAGTTTAAACAAAATAAAAAGCAAATAAAAGATTTTAAATGCACATATCAAAGTCCCTCCAAAGTCCTAAATTTTGTACTGCTTAGTAACAAAATTATGTAAACTTTAGTTTAAAAAATAATGCAGACAAAATTGTTTAGTTAAAAATATACAACCAGGAAAAGACTTTAGCTTGTTGTTCCTTTATTTATATACTTTTCCTGAGTCATCTTGCTTGATGCGCCAATAATAGTCTGCTACCATGTGTTTGTCCCAACTTCTTTGGTAACAATCTTTGATTATCTTAAGATCTTTATTGAACCGCTCTTCTTGCTCTTTACTCACATCTCCAAGATTATCATAAAACTTGTGAAAAATGAAGTTTTTAATTTTGCATTCTAGAGCACAAAAGGCTTTCAACATTTTATCAACTAAATCTGCATAGTTTTCTGCTATCATGTTTATTTCCATTAAAGTTGTTAACAACAACATCAAACCACAACCAAACTGTTTTCTCTTTGCTATTCATTGTTTAAATGAGTTTTTTGTTCATTTATAAGATAGAGAGTTTGTGGATTATTAAAAACTTCATCCTTTTTTTCTATTGACAAACCTGGTAATTCTATAGCTATGTACTGAAAGCAAACAATATCAGCTTTTAGTGTATTAACAAGTTGTTTCATGAAGCAGATTTAAGATGGAGCGGTGAAAAAACTTTTTTTCACTCCCAATATTTGTCAATATATTCCCACTGTGAAAGTGTTGTGACCGGGCCATTCTCTTTGTATCCAATAATAATTTTTTGCTCGACTGTCTCACATACAGAGAAAACATGGAAATTCAGTAAAACCTTTCTGCTGACCAAGAAAAATGTTAACAAGTTTTAGAACTACACAATTTTTTTTTTTACACTGATTAACTTCCAACAAGGCTGGCTTTAATATAACGGTTAGAAAAAAATGATTTGGTAATCTCAAAAATTTTCTCAGACACACCATATGAAATAACCTTATGGAGAAGACCAGCATGCCAAACTTTTTCGAAAGCCTTAGATATGTCAAGAGCAATACCCCTAACCTCTCGGCCTCTTTAATTTATAATAGCCCTAGCTCTCTGTCTGTTTAATTGGAATGAAAAAAAGAGTATGGCCATAAGTTTTAAGAGCCAAATTAGTAGAAAAGCTCTTTGCAAGTAGTTTAGCTTTATCCTTGGGAGAGGTAATAAGATGAGGCCCATGAATGAGAGATGAAATGTTAGACCTAACTTTGTTAACAACGTCGTTGAAGATTTTCTGAAAGTCTCTCGAGTCTAGCTTCTGACATAAGATATGAGATTTAGTGAACTAAGAATTAAGGAGTTTCGCATCTAACAGCAATTTATTACATCAGTTTCTTGCAATAATAAATAGCTGTTTGTTCTCAAGAGAGTTGTTCTTTTAAAAAAGTTTAAAAAAAAAAAGATTATGATTAGATATAGCAGCTGCACAAGAGGATGAAAACCATGGGGTAGAATGGGGTTTGACTTAGAACAGATGAGAAAGAATAAAAGCATCCTTTTCTGCCTGAATCCCGGTGGTTGCGTAGGAGACGTATTTTTCAGCTGAGAGGGAAAAGACATCTTAAGGATCGTCATGAAGAAATTCGCAAAAAGAATCCCAGTCACTTTTAGGATATTAGTAAGTAGTGCGATGATAGGGTGAGCTCGAAAATGCAATACAAGATGAAAGATTGAAAGAGATTATTGCATGGTCAGAACCACCTAAGGAAGAAAAAGGAGGAAATGAACATAAGCTAGGATCACAGAGCAAAAGTAAATCAAGGAGTAAAGGTAAATGATTAGGGTTGTCAGGAAAATGAGTCACAAAGTTAACTATCTGAGTAAGAGATTGAGAAATGCAGAAGTTATAGGTTTTAGTGCCAGCAGGATCAGTGGCATTAGAAACAATAATATTGACAGAGGAGTAGGGAGAGAGAGCATGATCAATATAATTAATCATGTTCATATATCATGGTCAAATAATCCCATTTATTAGTTTCCAATAACTGTTTGTTATGTTTAATCAATTTAAGCACAATTTAGAAGTTATAGAAAGTTTTTTGCAAATAAACAAAATAACTATTTTATATAAAACAAAAAATATTGCCATTGTGCAAAATGGCGTATTTAAGGCTTCACTTTGAGCTATTAATAGTGCGTCTCCATTCTGTTGAGTTATAAACAAAAATACCCAACTGTAATAGGAGAGCTGAAATATCATGGCAGAAAAAAAATAATTTAGCTTTTGAAAAGAAGTTAATAGTTATTTCATCTCTTGTTCCAAAATGATGAAAAAAACTTATTGTTTCTTTAATCAAGAGTTCTGCTGCTTGTTTAAATCTAAAATTAAAGTTTAAAATTAAAGTCATTAAATTCTATTTGACTTTAGCAATTTGAATTGTTTTTTAATAGATAAGTCTTCCAAATCTGATCTAAATTCTTGTTTTACTGAAGCAGACATGCTTTGATCATTTTTTGACAACAATAAACCGAAATCTCTTCAAAATGTTGAATTGGTCTAAAAGCCGAAAAAAAAGCATGAAAAAACATTTCCAAAGGTAAATGTTTTCCTTTTCTTATTGTCTAATCTTTAAGACTTTCTTTAAAAATTTGGCACATGGTATGTAAAGCCACTTTTTTATCTTTGTCGTCAAGATTTATCATAAATTACCATATTAAATGCCAGTTTAAAAAAATTAGTAATGTGACTTTCAGTTTGCAAGCCACAGATATAACAGAATAAGGTTTATACTTGCTCTTACGTCAATTTATAGAAGCAATTATATTAAATATTTAATCTAAAAAAATACTTTTTTTTCATAACTATTGAGTGAAAATATCTATGAAAAACATAATTTTTAAAAGCAATAAATTATTTATTGAAAAAACTAGAGCTTGCCAACAAAAATGGGCTTATTTAAATTCAGCGTTTAAAAATAAATAAAAATCAGTTTAAATATTTCATGCAACAGAAAAAAAATATCATTTTAAACCTGTTTTCAAAGATGTGCTGCTCTGGCTTTGTAAAAGCTCGATTGAGGCGGTTTTAAAGAAAAAAAATTTGTAAATGTGGTTCTTAACCCAATAGGAAAGAAATGTTCTTTTTTACTTTCGTAATAATCATTTTTAAAATCTATACTTTATTTAAACAAAAACTAACTAACTATTAAAGTAAATAACTAAAGTTCGCATTAATAGCTAACTTTAAAAGCTTGCAATAACTCTTGTGCGCAGAGTTTTTCAATAAATATAAAATGAGAACTTTAGTAAAGAATTAAACTTTACTTAAGTCTTTAAGACTTAAGTAAAGAATTAAAGACTTTAGTAAAGAATTAAAGAATAATTTTAAATGATTAATTGTTTCTAAGTTTTATATAATTTAATTTAAGAGGAATGGTATAAATATGCGTGAGCTGGCTCTTAAAATTTTAGCACATCACTGCCTGTGTTTTATTATTTTTATTATTTTTTGTGTGTTATAAGTTTTTAGAATCTTTTTCATCTGCTTATTTTTTTCTATTGTTTTTACTGGAACTATTAAAATATGCTATTCTTTATAAAGGTTGTAACAAATGAATGGAAAAGAGGTGATGCAAATGAATGGAAAAGAGACGATGTAAATGTTGCATTGAAAATAGATGATAAAAGTGAAGATTTAGTTCATGAAAAACTGACATCAGGTCTAACATCAGCAAGAAAAATGATGTTACAACTTCCACCATTTGTTTCTCTTATGCAGGTTTGTTTTTTGTTTTTGTAAACTATATACTTTTTCTTTGCAATATTTTGAAGTATTTTTTACAACAATAATAGAACCCAATTTTTGGCTCAAGTTCACATGCAGAATCAATTACAGAAGCATTTAAAAAAATTAATGAAAAAAATAAATCTCTTTGGAAAACATTTGATGGAGCTTCCGACATTTTTGACAATTTTAATATTTCTAAAGGAATATTTGATAACTTAGAATCGTCAACAGAAATCTTCAATAATTTTGAAAATTTTACAAAAAGCATTCATCAAGTTAGTGACAGGTTTTCAAAGATGTTTTCAAAATTGGCTAAAACTCACAATAAAATGGATAAATATCTCCAAAAAAATGTAAAAAAATGCAGCCGTTTAAAAATCCTATCAAATGAATCATTTGCAGATTTTAATGCTGGTTGTGTGGTGTGCAAAGCAATAACTTCTATAATATACTTTCAAGTAAAGTTTGCTAACGCTACAATTGAAATAATAGAAAAAGCGGTACAAAAAATATGTAATGTTTTCCCTTACGCAAAAGATGAAGTAAGTTTTTTATTGATATTTTATTGAATATTTACATGATATTTTATTAAATATTTACAGTAGGTTGTTTTGGCTTAAAGCACTAAGAATTGTTACTTTTTCTTAGAAACAGTAATTTATGCAATAGGCTATATGAGATTACGTTATGGCTAGCGTAACGGTACCATAGCGCTAATTTTTAATTTAAAGTCACGGTAGTTAAGTCTGATTGTTCAGCGTAGTTAAGAGAAATTTAAATGATTTGCATTTTATAAAAACAAAAATTTACATTTTTAAACTTCAATTTTTTTTGTTTTCTGCTTATTTTCAACTATTATTGTTATATTTTTAAAAAGTAGAATTTAGGATTTTTTTGTATTATTTAACTTTTTTGTAAATCTTTTTTTAACCAAAACATCAAGCAAAACAAAACTACCACTAAAATACATAAAACGCGACGGGGCAGCGTCATAAAAACAAATGAAAAAAATGTGTTAAGTATTTATACTCCCAAAATGTCCCTTTTATTCGAAAGTAAAATGACTTCTTGTTTACAGCATTAAAACATTCAATAAATGATATAAAACCTCTTATTTTATCTTTTCATAAACAGTAAAAACGTTAAAATCAAAGTTTTCACTCATAGCAATTTACTACCATAATCTCTTTATAGTCATTTGAATAAATTACTAAACAAAAATGATTCAATATTTATATACAAGGCCGTAGACAACTTTTTTTGATGTTTGAGCTTAGCAACTTTGAAACATGAAGAAAACTCCATATTTAAGTATGTTCATGTATATGAGGAATGTGGATACTGTGCAAAAAATTGCAGTGATTGGAGACTGGGGATAACAAAAACCCCAAAATGTTAGCCCCCCCCCAGCCCCAAACAGGAGGACAATTAGTCATATTTGTAATTTTTTCTTTAATCTTTAACTTAATTTATATTTATCGTCAAATTTCAAATTTGATTCAATAACCTCTTGTGATCGGCAAGAGGTTATTAAATGGTTATTGTGATGGGGGCGGGGGGTAAACGTTTTGGGGCTTTTGTAGTTCCCAGTCTCCAATCACTGCAATTTTTTGCATAGCATCCTCATTTCTTATATTTATGAACATACTTAAATATGAAGTTTTCTTTATGTTTCAAAGTTGCTTAGCTCAAATATTAAAAAAAGTTGTCTACGGCCTTGATATAACTTCTGCCCCATAGTATTAAGCTGAAACTTCGAACTCGTAGATAATAAAATCACCGAATATTTGTGAACAAGATAAAACAACAACCTTAGTGATATTTTTAAAAAAACAAACCAATCAAAACGCACACAAGCTACTTTAGATGTAAGGTAAGATAAAAAGATTTCTATTAAAATTAATAGACATTCTATAAAAATTCTATTAGATTTCTCTAGGGAATATGTGTCAAAAGTTTATAGAAAATTCTATAGAACTTTTTTTCTGGGTCAAAAACCTTCCCAGATACACCATACGGAAAAAACCAGCATGCCAAACTTTTACGAAAACTTTAGATATGTCAAGAGCATTAGCCCTAGTCCCTGCTTCCATCCAAAACACGATAAAATCTTTCAGTCACAGCAGTTAGCAAGTCGGGTGTAAAACAAGAGGATCAAAATCTGTATTGATTGTCTGACAGCAGTCCAAGAAAAAAAGTTCTATAGAATTTTTATAAACTTTTGAAACATATAGCCTATATAATTTCTATAGAATTTCTATAGAACCTCTGTTAATTTCTACAGAAAAAAAAAGTTTTATAGAAATTTCTATAGAAATTAATAAACATTCTATAGAAAATCTATTAGATTTCTCTAGGGAATATGTGTCAAAAATTTATAGAAACTCTATAGAACTTTTTTTCCTGGGAAATTATTTGACTCAAAATAGAATGTGAAAAATTTGTTTATAATTATTTTCTGACAGTAAGTTATTTGATGGGATGATGGAAATTTGTTTATTAAAGACTCAAAGCAGAGCCGCCCCGAGGAGAAGGGGGCTACGAATTTTTTGGTTGGTAAATTGGAACTGGAGCCGGGAAAATTGGATCTATAGTTGGTAGTCGGCAACTATCGGAAAACAAGGACCTTTTTTTTTTTTCCTTTTTTAGCGATCAAAATTTTCTTTTTTGGTTTTAGTCGGCAAAAAACAGGCACATCACCCCCCTTCTTTTAAATCTCTTCGGGACGGCCCTGACTCAAAGACCTTGCTACTTTGCTAATAACAGGAAGAAGACTGATTGGACGATTATTGGAGGGGTCAGAATGTTCGCAGGAGTTTTTGAAAATTGGAACAACAGAAGCCATTTTCCAGCAGGCAGGAAAATAAGACTCAGCTGAGCGCTTATTAAATAATTTTGAGAAAATTAGAGAGATTTCTGGAGAAATATTTTGTAAGGCTATGACCGGAATGTTGTTTGTACCACAAACAGTAGAAAATTTAAATTGAGATATTACTTTAACAAGAAAAGCTGGAGTTATTGGAATGTCAAACAATGGGTTAACCTGTTTAATTGGAATGGAAGAAAGATTTCAAATTAGTATAGTCAAATTAGAAGAAAGGTTCTTTGCAAATAGTTCTGCTTAATCCCTGTAAGAGGTCACAAGATTATTCCCATGAACGAGAAATGGAATAAAGTAAAAACAAAGCAAATGTGCTTTATGGACCACTTCTAAGACATTAAGAAATGCGGTCAGTACCGTTAGAGCCAATTCATTCAGTGTGATGAGCATCTTTTTTTTTTTTTTTTTTTTTATTTTTTTTATTTTACCATATAAATTTATTCAAGTCGTAAAGCATAACATATATACAAATAGCAGGGGCAAGAAGAAGACATAATTTGTCTTATCACCAATCTATACCGTAAATATAAAATAGCGTGATAAATTTAAAAAAAAAACGTAACACAATATAATATAAAACACTTTCTTAAGATTTTATAAATAAAAATAATAGTTCTTAATGTTCTTTAATTTTAACTTTTAACATCTAAGTCATCAATAACAACAATATTGGCACACACACACATATATATATATATATATATATATATATATATATATATATATATATATATATATATATATATATATATATATATATATATATATATATATATATATGTATATATATATATATATATATATATATATATATATATATATATATATATATATATATATATATATATATATTAGGGATATTCACTATGTCGTTAATCTTGGAATTTTAATACACAGTATTAAAAATAAGTGGCGCAGATGCCATATTTACATATGAAAAGAAAATTTTATGGGTAAGTATTAGCGCCACTGGTAAAAAGTTAAGTTTTTTGTTATTTTTTACCAATTTTATACCAAGTTTTGACAATTGGCACGAATAGTACCCTAATTCTAATTTATGAAAAAAAAAATTAATGTGAATATTATAGTCTTAACTAACAAATAAGAATTAGTATGTTACAGTTTCTTACATATAATGGACCTATCTAGTTAAAACAAAACTTTATAAAACACTATAAAATGATGTTTTAATCAAACAGAGTATTTTAATAATAAATACATATATTTCCATGGCTTCTAAAAATGCTTTCTTAACTCAACTTCTACGATTAAGAATAACAAAGAAATAATGGGTATAGTGACGGCGGGAGCAGAAGCCCCCCACCCCTGTTGTAGTGAATTGATGTTTTGGGTAAGTTGTGGGGAAGGGGGAGCATAGAGAACTAGTAAGGAACAAAAAAAAATGGCGAGCCAGAATTTTAAAATGTGGATTTTACGAGCTTTTTGTGGTTACCTTAGGCCTCTTTGCCTTATGTTGAATTGGCAAATGGGGGAGAGTAAGGAGCCATTACCCCATTGTGTAAAAATAGAAACGAAAAATCTCCTAGTAGTTAAAAAAGTTATGATAAATATTAATCAAAAGCTTAGACACAGCCCTCCAGTTTTAAAACGCTTTGCCGCTGCTGACTGAGGAAAGACAAAGTGGAGTGTGATAAAAAGTAGCAAAGTAACCGTTTAATTGGTAGCCTATCTACTTTAAACAAAACCAAAGAAATCAATAAAATACGATGTTTTAATCAAACAGAGTGATCAATAATTTATATTTTAAAAATGGTATATATTTTAATGTTATTTACAAATCAATTAGACTTTTGCAGTTTTATATAAATCTAATGAGTATTTTACAAAGAGGTATCGCTGGAGTAAGAGGATCCAAAGCAACAGATAGATAGACAGATAACAGATAGATAACAGATAGATAGACAGATAACAGATAGATAACAGATAGATAGACAGATAATAGACAGTCTGTGAAACAATTAACGTTGGAGCGACGGCAATAGCTGACTCCTTGTACGCATTTTTTGAATTTTTTTCTGTTTTTTTTTCCAAGCACTTTTCAGTTGGAGTAGGTCCTGCAGCTTTCGTTTACTTATGACGCGTTCAACATTGTCTTGGATAAGTTTTACTGCTCTTTTAGACGAATCATAGACCGCATTAACAGATTTAACAAAAATTCAAGATATCCTAGAAACTCAAGATATCCTAGAAACTCTTTTCAAAAGATTTGTGGAAGTTTCATCCAGTAATATTTTTTCATATTATGAATGATGCAGATTAACAATGAATTGGTAGAAACATAAGAAACTAGAGATGGGGGATCATTGTAATGCTGCAAAACACTCGTAACATCTGGAAGAACTGCTCTGACTCTCATAACTTCATTATTGTTATGGTTATGTAGATGGATCTAGTTACGAGGTATAATTTTCCTATGATTTGACAACAACTTTGGCTGCACGCTCAAATTTAACATAGTGGCACATCTACCAGTAGTTCCTCTAATCCTATAGAAAATTTAGATATTGTTGTTCAAGTTATTAACATTTTAACTAATATGGTTTTTGCACATCTCTTACACTTTGCTTTTAGTCCTAATTGCTGATTGAATATTGTATTCTTGAATATTGGTGATTTCCATTTGAATTTTGGGAAATAGTGAATTATGCCATTTCCTGTGATTGCAAATGGATTTATGAAGAGAATTATGTTCATTGTTTTAATGTCAAACTCGTGAAAATAAAAATCAAAGGACTCATAGTTTTGAAATACCCAGTTTGCATTTTCCTTTAAAAAACATGAATATTTAAGTTAAAAGGATTGAAAAAAAAAATCATGACTTTTCTGAATTTAGAAACTTTAGTTTGTAGAAACTTTAGTTTGTAGAAACTTTAGTTTGTAGAAACTTTAGTTTGTAGAAACTTTAGTTTGTAGAAACTTTAGTTTGTAGAAACTTTAGTTTGTAGAAACTTTAGTTTGTAGAAACTTTAGTTTGTAGAAACTTTAGTTTGTAGAAACTTTAGTTTGCAGAAACTTTAGTTTGTAGAAACTTTAGTTTGTAGAAACTTTAGTTTGTAGAAACTTTAGTTTGTAGAAACTTTAGTTTGTAGAAACTTTAGTTTGTAGAAACTTTAGTTTGTAGAAACTTTAGTTTGTAGAAACTTTAGTTTGTAGAAGAAGTTAGAAACTTTAGTTTGTAATTAAAATCATTGATCTTATTGAAAAATATTCGAAATATTTCAACTTTTCAGACCCGTGTTAAGTTTATTATGTTGACAAAAAAACCGAATCACTTAACCAAGATGAGCTTTTCAGCAGTTCAAACTCTGATGATAATTAGTGCAAATACTGTTAAATTTTTTTCAATTCGGATTGTGTGTGTTGGATTTTGAATTTTCCATACATTTTTCCATGTTTAAAAAATATCTAATCCAGTTGTTTTGATCTCAAGCTGACAGAGACCAAGACAATCTTGCATGATGTCAAAGTTTTTATTTACACATCTGATGTAAACAAGTAGGTAAGCATTGTCAGTTGATTCACAACTTACATTAATAGCATTTGAAAAGTCACTTGGTGTTGTTGAGGCTACTATGATTTGTTTGGAGACAATACCTGCCATTTTCTCTACTCTTCTTGTCACTTTGTTCCGAGAAAGAAAAATGTTTTGGTACAACAGTTTGATTTAACTTTCTTTAACATTTTCAGCAAAAGTAGAAAGGCAGTGATTAATGATTTCACGATCAACACTTTTCTTTTTTTTAAGAAGTGAAATTTGAGAAGAGACTTCCATCATGTTTTGCATTTCATCACTTTTCTTAATAAATATTTTTTGTTGGTTTGAGATTTTTTTCTTCAGCTTTGAAATAAAAATTTTCCTGATCTCAGATCCAGCTGGATATTTTATGTTGAACTCTGAGGGCATTTTAGTGAGATGTCTGTACAAATTGTATTTTTTATTTAATTGCAATTTCAAAACCAATAAGACTTTGATGATGGGGATGAGGGCTTTTTTGACAGTTTAATAATGGCTTTGATGACAGTGTTTGTATAAACAAGATTTTTTTCCCATTTGTCTTTGAAACAAGACTGTGATGATAATTCACTTTCACGTATTCTTTTTAAGTTTGACCTTTTCTCACCTTTAGCCATTTCAAATAAAAAATATTTTGTAACTTAACAGACCACTTTTAACTCAATTTTTTTAATCAGTTTTGTTTTGTACTAAAAACTTTTTTTTTTTTTACTTTGTTTTATAGGAGCTTGGTACCTATTTGTTAAAAATTAATTTTAATTAAAAAATAATTTTGATTATGAATTGAATTTGATTTAATCACTTTGAAATTAAATAACTAGAAAATTTAATTTTGAAAAAATATGTTAGTTTCAAGAAGCTAATTGGCAAAAATCTCTAAAGGGCAAACAAAAATGTCTCAAAGGGCAAACACCTTTATAGAAACATTTTTATCCAAAATTGTCATGAGCCAGATATAAAACGCTTGGTCATTAGAATAAACTGTAATTTGTAAACTTGATTTTAAAGTTGTACATGGTGCAACATTTTTGAAAAATCAATATTTTAACATAAAATATCTACCTAGATGTAGTCAATTTTTAAAAGCTATACTTTGAAGCTCTAAAAAGTTTTAAATAAATTAGAAAATGTTTTTAGTGTGATTTTTTCTTGAAACATATCGATCAAGTGGTTCAGCTTATTTTAAAAGGATTATCTCCACAAAAAATTTGCGAAGAGTTGAAGTATTGCAATGAAACATTCTCTGAAGGAAAATTTCTTTGTGAAGATGGAGTCATTGAGACCAAAAAGAACAAAGTACTTTTTAATATTTTTAATAAGTTGATAAAAAGAGATTTTGATTTAAAAAATATGCAGCAAGTGTTTTTGATAAACTTTTAATATTTTAAAATTTTAGTAAACAACATTTGTTGTTTTATTTAATAATAATTCCTGTTCAATTGTTATAGGAAGGAGGAAAATTCGTATCTAGGATAACCTCATGGATAAGTTCAGATGGTTTTGGTTGTTCAACTTGTAAATTTGTTAGCAAAGCAATACATATTGTCATGGAATCAGCAAATTCTACCAACGAAATGATCACACAACTAATAAATGATACGTGTTCTTTATTCTCAAATGCATTAGAAACAGTAAGATAAATTAAAGATAATTTTTGATTTCTAAAACTTTGAAATTTTTTTCGAAAACTCATAGATGAGATTTGTTTTAGTGCGATCATTACGTAACAAAAGGAGGAGAATTGGTCGAATTAATTAGAAGCCAAACAAAACCTGTTGATGCTTGTAAAAAAATAATGAAATGCAACAGCGACATGGCATATAACATTTTTCAGAGCGTGATATCAGGTTATCTACTTTATTTATTAAAATGATTTTTCTTGTTTTTTCATTCAAGTTAATACTCGGAGTTAAATAATTTTTTATTTGCGATAATCTTTTTCTGTAAACATAAATATTTTAGTGCTTCTTTTTCCCAATCGTTTTAACTTCGGCTGATACAATATAAACATTTTTTAATGGTTTTTGATAAACCATTATCATTAAAAAAAATTACATTACTTAAAAACTCTCATTTAATTATACAGCGTCTGAGGAAGTCAAAAACATAAAAAGTAAAGACTCGTCTGAATCATCCGAAACCGAAACTGCCATTGATATCGAGAAAGTTGACGAGTTAAATAAGATTGAAGAGCCGTTAGTAAAATCAGACTCACAGAGCGAAAATAGTTGGGGTGCATATGCTGCCAGTCCTTCTGAGTAATTTTTATGTTTTGTTTTATCGTTTTTTATTAAGTCACAAATATTAAGTTCTTATTGTTATTGTAATCTTATGTAACTATGGATAAATAAGTTTTTGTAAAGTTTTTTTTATTAAAGTTTTCATATAATGATAATTATAAAGAAATTATTATGATTAAAAAATGTATTAAAAATAATTTTAATAAAGGAGTTTTATTTTATTTTAGTTAGTGTGTGTGCGTGTGAGTGTGTGTGCGCGCGCGTGTGTGTGTGTGTGTAAAAAATTTAAAAAGTCATATTAAGATGTGGCGTTTTGAATTTTTTATCTCCAAATTATAAGTACGATTGCTTTTTAGGGATTTACCGAATGTTTTTTTTAAAACATCTAGAAGACTTTTGCCATCGTATATTTATTGTTTTTTCCATTTAGTATACTTTAGTTGATATTTGAGGATCTTCCTCTTTTAATATTGGCAAAGAAAAGTCTGCTTCGTGTCCTATATCACTTTCACTTTCTCGTCTCATGGATCATTTTTTGACAATTCTCAATAGCGCAATAGTTCTGCATTATAAAGACAAGTTAATCTGCCTTGTCACTGTCATCTAAGATCAGTGATGGGAAGATCTACGATCAGTGATAACAAGATCTATGATCAGTGATGACAAGATCTACGATCAGTGATGGCAAGCTCAGAGGCCTGAAATGCTCTTTCAGATGATGTGCATTATATGAAAAACTCTCAATAATGATTGCAAAACTATTCCCTTGTACAATTATTCCGCACAAGGAGTTCTTGCATGAAAGCAATAAAATCTGAAGCTTTTATTTAGTGTGTAGTTTCTTATATTATTATTCCAGCCTTACAGAATTGGAATTAATTTACATTCTTTAAAATATAAGATATGAGAAACTACACACAGTTTGAAATAATATAATTTGTTTATTACAATATATTTTTGTAGTTATTAAGGTGCTCCCAGATATTCGGGTTTATCACAGAGCACCGCATTTAAAGAAGAAGTTCACACCTTCTTCCTTGCTAATATCGCTTATTGGGCTGGAGCCAGCGTCGGGCCTCGGACCTCTGGGTTCTGAGTCAGAACTCTAACCAATGCATTATGGCTGCGTTAGATGTAATAATTTAATACAAAATTTATTGAATTAGTTTAATATAAAATAAATCTAAACGTTAAACAAAAACCAAAACTAATTCTCTTATTTATTAATCACGATAGAAAACATTACAATAATGATACCAGATAAGATATAAAAATACAGAAGCGATACAAGACAGTTATTTAAATTATAATAACGACACTAGGTGAGAAATTAAATGATGATTACAATGTCATACAATAAACAAAAAGCGATTTAAAAAAAAAATTAATTTAATTTGTCTGATATACGAGTCGTTGCATTTTAGTAAAACAAAAAACCTTAACTATTTTATTTTTATTTTTTTATTTTTTTTTTTATTTATTTCATTTTCTATTCAAATCTCACTGGGTCCTAAGTGGAAAGTTTTAAATTCTAATCAATTTCAACCTGAGACTTGAACGAAACGAAATAAAAAGATGCAATTTGAAATAAATTTTTAAAAATAATTTTTTTAAATAAAAAATTTAAAACAAAAAAAAAATGACAAAAATGTTCATCTAAATCAAAAAATATTTTTTTACTTTCCAAATATAGTTAATTCACAAATAAAGTACAACTTTTCCTGAAGACCCAAGCTGCGAAACCAAACAATACCAACGGAACAGATATAGACTTTGAGAAAGCTTTTGATTTTATGATTCACTCTAAATTACTTTTCAAACTGCATTGTTCTAGTATCTAGAATGAATTGCTAAATTGGATTACCAATTTAACAAATCTTTCTCAACGTGTTGATGAAAAGCAAGTTATATCAAGCAAGCAATATTAGAAACAACACACACCTTATCAAAAAGGTGAATGGGGCACCATGAAACATGGGGTACCATTAAACATTGTAATTGTGGATATTAATAGTTGTGACGTTTATATGATAAAACAGTAGTTATTAGAGTTATGTTTTAAAAAAAACATTTGACCTCATTAAACATGACATCATTAAACATGCGAGGGGCCGAAATTTGTGTTTTTTTCATGAAGAAGTAATTTATTAATTTTTAAAGTTCATAAATTTAAGTTATAGTTTTCTATGTGTGTATCAGTATGTTAACATTATTTTGTAAGTTGCAATCCATGGTTTTTTTTAAAACAAAATCAGAGAAGAAAACGGGTTGATACTGAAAATAAAGTGATTGTTTTCTATTAACAATCGATTGTTTTCTATTAACAGGTATGGGGTAACTTGATACAACGTTTGTGGAGAGCCCTAAACTGTAGAATAGTACTCCATTGTGTCATAAACAATTTAAAAAATCATTGCTTTTGATATTTATAGTCAATTTTTAAGAAATTAATGTAAATATTATATGAGGAGACCCAATTTCGATATATCGAAATTGGATCTCCTCATATAATATTTACATTAATCTCTTAAAAATTGTATGCATACATTGTAAATTGTATGTATACATGTATAAATATAAATGTATACAAAGCCATAATTATTGACGCTTAAGAATGACTTTTGAAGCAATATATTATGTGGATTCCTGAAATGTGATTTGGATCATTGGATGCATTATTTAGGTTTAGCTATTAGTATGTTTGTTTTTCAAGAAAAATTCTGTTTTTTCTCTAAGCTTTTTACTTTTAATTAACTTTTTTCACAATGTTCATAGTTTTTACCAAAGTACCCCATGGGTGTGGTACCTTGATACAAATTTTTAGTTATACTTTAAATAGTCTCACAAGTTTAATCTGTTATACTTTGTTGATTGATAAAATTTAATTTTTTAGGTATAAATTTATTTTACAAATTAAACTAATTGCCTAAAAAAAAAACGTTTAAAAAATTGTTACAAACCAAAAACCAAAAGTATTTCATGATGCCCCACTTCCCCTGCCTTAAAAAATATTTTAGAATGGTCAAAAGTTTAGCAACTTAACATATCAATTAAAAAATGTTTTCACCTAATTCATTTCAAGATAACAGTATAGACGTAACTTCGGATATAAGGTTTTTAATCACTGTTCTTTTATTGCAAGCAAATCACATTCTCGTTCCTACTTTATTTAAAGATTTTTTACTATTAATGATTCCCAGCTTATGCTCAAAGCCTATAAAGTTTATGTTCGACTTATTTTAGAATCTTGTATTTCTGTGTGGAACCCCCATCTTTTAAAAGATATGCGTCGTTTAGGAAAGGTTCAGAAATCTTTTACTAGAAGTGTTTGTAAAAGATTTGTATTCCTTATAAAGATTAATCTTCAAGACTCTTTAATACTCTTGTATTCCCGACTGTCTAGCAAAAACTATAAAGCGTCCAACATCAGTGATTGCGTGGTCTATGGACTCAATTCATGGTGTCGGAAAGCTGTATGTAGAGAAAGGGAACAATGAGACGGCAACAGTATATCAAACTATTAGGAAAAACCTGCTACCTGAGCTGTTAATTTCTTTCCAATAGGTGGAGCAATATTTCAACAAGATGGTGCACCTTGTCACACAACCCGTTCTGTCGAGCCGTATCTGCGGTGCAACAGCGTGACAGTTTTGGATGGGTTAGTCTGATCTCCTGGCATGAATCATTTTAAAAATATTTGAGTGGTTGTTAAGCGCAGAATTGTAACTAGAAAGCCGGCAACAAGAGTGGTACTGGTTGATGCACTAATAGACATCTGGGTACATGACCTAGAGATACGGGAAATGTGTTGAGGTGTGATTTATAGACAAGGTCCCAATTCTTGGATTTTTAAAGTAGTTTGATCTGCTCATCTCTCGAGCTTGAGTCTCTCTCCCATCGTCGTGAAGTTACATCTCTTTTTGTTTTCTACAAATAACACGTAGTTTGCTGTTCAAAGGAACTATCATTTTTAATTCTATCAACCAAAACTAATTCTTGCTTGACTGGTGCAAAATTCTCATTTTTTTACTTTATCTATCTCTGCATGCTCTAAAAACTTTTATTTGTCTGGTTTTTTTCCACGCACTTTAACCCTTTGAAACTCTCTCCCATCTTCATGTTTTCCTGACTACAACTTTTAAAGTCTTCTTTCAACCGTTTCCTTGCTCTTTAACGCTATTCTTTTTTTCCAGTAACTCCTAACTTAATAGTGGTTACTCGTAGTTTGTCGAGTGTAAATTAGAATATTAAAAAAAAATTTTTTTACGACTTGAAAGTAAGAAATTCATAAAACTACTCAAATAAATTAACTAGTTAAAAGTAAAACAGATCAATTTCATATACTACTACATAATCAAATACTATAGCAACTTCAAGATAAGATTTCTCACTATCACTAATATACGCATGAAGAAAGTTTTTGTCGAATTCTGATGATGGAAAACATTCAACAAGTCCAGCTGCCTCCATTGTGTCTGATAAGCTATTATGGTTTAGTAAAATAAAACTGTTATAAAATTATAATAAAACAAGAATATCTGTTATATACGTAGAGTAAAAGACAATAAATCGAATAAATTCTTATAAATATAAGTTGAATAGAAAATAAAGTATAATATAAGAAAAAAAGTTTAATAAAAAGTGCATATACCAAATTTCGAACTTTCATTTCATTATAAAATTTCTCATATTATATAAAATTTAAATGAATTTACTGATTTCAGCATAATGAAATGGTTTTTTTTAAAGCTGTTAGAGATATCTTAGAGATCAGTTATTGTTTTGATTTGTTTTAAATTTTGTTTCAAAGTTGTTTGGTGTAAGATATTTTAAATGATTATACAAGAAGATTATGTGTTAAAATCTATCTATCTCTTAAACATTTATTATTTTTTTTTCTCTTAATAATGGCTTAGCAAGTTTCTTGACGATATGACTTGTGTTAGTCTTTTGTGAGCTCTCTATGGCTACATATAAGAGTTTCTAACCTACCTATTTTTTCTCTCTTTTAGATAAGTATAATGTTTTAAAGACTCAAAGTGAGAACTAAATTTTAAATGTGTGGAGTCATTTTATAACAAAATTAGCCATTTTGAATAAGACTTTGTGTTATTCATTAAAT